GAGCCATTAGGTAGAATCGGTGTCTCCCGTCTTCCAGGGTGGAGTCCGAAAGACTCTACAACTGGTTGACTGAAGACATTAAAGGATATGGTGACTAACCGACAGCAGTGGCGCTCTTGTTGTCATTTCTTAACAAGGCAGAATGCATGAATACTTAGATTATGCACTCTGTGTGTTAAACATAGGTTCTTATTCTTTGCCTCCCTCCAAGTCCGCCCAATCCCTCTCCATCTTGTGCTTTATCACTTGATTTGTGTACATTGTGAGCTTGGAAGCGATCAGTGAAGCTCGCTTCACTGTCTATCGCTGTACAATGATGATGATGATGTTCTGGATCAGGGTTTTTGGCTAACTCCCTCAGATTATGTGGAAGTGGTTTGCGGACGTGTTTGTAGCATCTTCACCATTGTACAGAGAGATACATTGAAGCGAACTTCGCTGATCGCTTCCAAGTTCACAATGTATATAAAGCAAGTTATAAAGTACAAGATGTATAGGGTTTGGAGGGAGGTAAAGAAGGTGAATTCCCATGGTCAACATACATTTTTTCAAGCATTCTAACAAGAAATAACAACAAAACACCTCTACTGTCGGTTAGTTGCCATATCCTCTAGTGTCTCCAAACAACCAAAAACAACGTGAAAGGTGAGAAACAGCTCCTCAACATCTGAAAGCCTCGCTATGGCCGGGGGTGGTTGTCTAGGGTTGCGGCTAGTCACCGTTCCCTTGCACCTCTCTACTTACTCCCATAAGACCAAGCTTCTAAAATAGCCTCTGCTGAGGAAGCCCTACTCAATGCCTTCTCGTGATGAAGGCGATTCCCCACCAAAGTGAGAGAACGAAGAACCGACATACGGGGCTGTAATCGAGTTGGTGGACTACCGGTAGTTAACCTATGGAAGTTGATCAAAATCCCTCACTCCAAACCAACCAAGATGAGGCGTACGAACCACACGCTTCCACGCCTTCCTGGTTATGGCAGTGGTCACCGGCTCGATTGGGCATCGAGGTGTATTGGGCACCTCTGACCCCATCCAAACGATGTGTGATCCGATGAACTGGACACTGGCTCCCAATGGATTGCGGTTTTCACACGCCCCGCTGCCTTACCGGTCGGGCTTTGGCTAGCGAAAGGCGCCGGTTGTGGATTTCTCGAAAAATTCACCTACATTGGCCTGGGAAACCTGACAGTATTCGGCCCAGGTGCAAATCATGGAACGTTTTTCTTTTTATAAGGATTATAATACCATGATTTGTTTGGTACATAGGGTGGCATCAGAGGTGTATGAAATATATGTATATGTATACTCACCTTAATCGCTCTATGTGAGGGTTACTTCCTTCACTATACTACCGTCATTTGTCGCGCAAATACCTAAGTAGGAGAAATAATTAAATAACTAATTCCCGACCATCAAGCATTAGAGCCGGAGTGGACGACACCAAATTTTCTAGCCTCTCTGCACTTTGAAGGTGTAAAGCGCACATCGAACGGAGCATCAGAACTTGCGATTTGTTCATCCTCCATACATTCGGACAGAGAAACGATGTCGGCAGCGCATTTTAGGTCGCACACCTTTTATTCAGCTCCCCGTTCAATACCAACAACTTGGAGACCACTAAGTGCCTTCTCCAGTGTTTCATCTACGACGAAATTGAACAGGAATAATGAAGCAGGGTACCTTTGATGAACAGAGCTCCTTGCTTCGAACGATTTGGTTAGCCCACCGTAAACCCTGACGGTACCCGAAGTATGCAGGTTCAGTGACGTCAATATGTTTACATCCTTCTGCGGCATTCCTTTGGGAAGCAGTGCATCTATCAGGGATTCACGGTCAACTGAATCAAAGAGTCCTTTTCGGCCAAGGAACGCTGCGATTGTTAGTCGACGATGTGTGGCGCTATTCGAGGACTTGACGCAGTGGTCAATGCAACCGCGACCTAGTCGGAATTCTGCTTACTGTTTCCGTATACCCATCTCTCTTAAGAGTGTTAGGCGACGAAACATCACAGAAGTTGATACTTGTGATGGTTGGAACTAAATTTATCACTTTTTGAAGATCGGAAAGATCAACGACCCACCCCAGGAAAAAAGGACACGCTCTTCCGACCAAATACTGTGTAATAAACTAGCTATCGAGTCGACGAGGGAGAGGCCCATCAAGTCCCACTGCCTTTCCTTTCTTAAATGATTGAATACAGCTTCGTACTTCTAGTTCTGGTGGGGGCTCACATGTCACCCGTGGAGTTTCCGCAGCAATCGCCGGACTAACTGCATTAGCATCAGGCCAGTTGAACTGTTCACCAAAATACTCTGTCCAGCGATCAAGTCGTTGTTCTTTCGTGTACATACTCTGTCCACTTTTATCGCGAATGATTCCACTGGCCGGTATGCGACGACCTTCAACGCTGTATATCAGGTGAAGCAGTCTTTGGCTATTCCCTAACGCAGAAGCTACTTCCATCTCACTAGCTATACCGATTTTCATGATCTTTCTAGAGGCTCTTCCTGAGTTGTCCCTGCAGACATCACCGTTTCCTATGTTGATCCTGGTAGATTTTGATCTTTCGCCTTTGTTCCATCAGGATTACTGACTTCTGAGAGATCCAATGTCTTTGACGACTTTTGGGCTCGACACCACAGGGAAAGGTTACTACCCAATGCACTGCACATCTAATTTGATCCCATTGTTTATCCGTTGCATCACGTCGCGGTGCTCCTATCTCGTGTCCAAGAATCTCATAACGTGCGCAAGCAGATGGATCGCGTAGACATGCTGAGTTAATTGAAGAGGCGGTTTTGGATGGTGACAGATGAGTTGATGCGCATCAGAGGTAGCGCAAGATCTGACTCAACGCAGGTAGTCCAATAGGATCTGCAGTTTTGTACTGAGCTAAGCTAACGGTAGTTTACAGCTGAGGTCAATCTGTTTCAACTTTACTGTTGACCTAGAACACCATCTTGCCGTTGAACGAGAGCTGTGTCGAAAGTTGGTACTAGATAAGAACATCCGATTATCCGCACAGAACTGAAGTAGTCGATGACCGTTGTCTGTTCGCTGGATGCGATGAGCGAAATGCCCGCTAGAGGGGCTTCAGATGCACTCAGCTTTTGAACCTGCGCGTTAAAATCACTTGCCAACAGTATAACATTAAAGCTACGCCTCAATCGAATGAGCTCTTTGAGTTTGTCGTAACATTCGTCCTTTCGTGAATTAGAACTGCAGTTGATTGGTGTGTATTCGAAAGTGATGAGCAAACATCTTTTAGTGTTGCCACCCTTCCGAACACTAACTGAACCCCGGAGCTTCAGTGCAACAAACGACTGCTGACGGATATCCAGTTTATCAGTGAGGCCTCAGCGTTATCACTTGGTACGATTCCTACACCACGCTGACCCAGTAAACAGGCTTCAACGTACCCTAATGTGCGAAAGACGTACCTCGAGGACAGACCCGGTGCACTCAGATGGCTTATACTGCTAGGATCCTGAATTCGTATCTGCGATACACAACAGACACCAATTTCCAAAGAGTCCATTGTACGTGCAAAACACTCTTTTTGACCTACCTTCATCAGAGTCCTCACATTGAAGGCCCCCGGATTGAGAGGGTTGACGAGGCTACAGAATCCGCAATTAACCCTAAGTAAACTACTTGCGGTGCTATTTGGCAAAAGGCGTTAGCAGGTGGCAAACAAGTCGCCTGATGCGATGTTACGTTTTGGAAGCAAAGGCAAAGGACGAAAGTTGGTTATAGAAGACTATGTTAAACAAAGATTGGGATATCTGAGCAGTAGCCCACTTATTAATACCCACCTCATTCGACTCAGTGGTCAGCGCGGTCCTGATTATTCTGCGCGACAACCAGTGCAGTATGGAATTATGTTTGGCTTGTGTATACATTGGAGTTTGATGGATGGGTACCGCTAGTGTGTCTAGCCACTAAGAAGGAGAGTGATTACAGTTCTCAAACAAAGCCTTCGGTTCTGATAAGAACTTAACCACAAGTGTAAAATGTTGCTACAGGACTGGTTTGGTCCGGCACCCAGCCTCACTCTAGCTGGTAGAGTATTAGACCAAGTGGACAAGTTGTGTTATTTGGGTAGCTATATCTCACCCGGTAGTCAGCATTTGCCAAATTAAGACATCTGTGGCGCCGTCGCTACATCCGGCTGTTTGTGTAGGGTCGAATCTACGCCGCGGCAGTTCGGCTAGTTCTGCTATACGGCGAAGAAACTCGGCCATCAAGAAAACAGGACGAAGATAGACTGTCAGTGTTTGAACACCGCTTTCTACGCAGCATTGCACGAATCTGGTGGGGCAACCGGATGAATAATGCTGAGGTTGGGCGCAGAGTTTTGGGTAACTGTGGTCGTCCACTGGAGCAAGTGGTCGACCTCCGTAGATTACGTTGGTTGGGGCATGTGTTACTCATGTCACCAAATATGTTGCCTCGGCGAGCGATGTTTGCCAAGGCAGGTTGTGGGTGGAAAAAAGCCAAGAGTGATCAAACCAAGACCTGGCACGAGGGTATGAAAACCCTGTCTAAAAGACCCGGTCAAACAGGTGGCGTTAGGCCCCCTGGAAAAGAATTTCAGGATCATTGTAATCAATGGTAGAGACACTGAATGATATGGCTGTGTTTTAAACAGGCGTTCGGGAATCTCAGTTTCTGTGAAACCTAAGTCTACTGAAATTCTCCATTTTCTCTTCGACTCTACTTCAACTTTTCTGTTTTTATCTCATTGCTTCATCCAAATTGACACACAAAAGACTGCAATCAAAACCAACGCATGAAGTTCAAACTGCAAACTGAAACTCACCACAAGGCAGCGGACAAGGTTTTGTGAAGGCATGGTATGATATTTCGGCTTGATGAAGTCTATCCCGTGTAGCTCGTTGGATCAGAGGTGTACAAGTCACCACACCACTTCAAGGCATAGTCCGAATTGTTCAAATTATGTTCCCGTCCTGCGATGGTAAAACATCCGCTACGGAAATGAAGTGAGTACGGTTTTCTCAGTCAAGTCTCTTTGGGACGCTTGGTCGCATCGGATCATTTCACAAGGTGCAAAAAAAGTGTGGCCAGCCAAACTGGAGATGCTCACTCCGACCATTCTGCCCCATTCGGCGGCTACTTCAACTGCGATTTGTTGTAAGACCGTTGACGATGGTATTGGTGGGCTTGAAGTATTTTTTTTATCTAATGTGACCCCGTAAGCATTCTGTATTTTTCCCCTAGGAAAACTCGGATACGTTCGAGAATTCTTATTCTACATTTGTCTGGGTCCAGACTGCTTGTCAGGTAAATCGTGATGCAAGAACCTCTGTGATAAAGAAAGTAATCGATGAATGCGAGTAGTTAGCTCAGTGGTAACTCACTTCCCATGTTAGGGGTCCCGAGTTAAACCCCCACATGTGACTTTCAGATAAATTGTAACTGGGACGAAACTAAAGTATAGCGCTTCCCAAATGTATGTTTGACTGATCGAATCAAGGATTGTGCTTCCAGGTTAAGTCTGAACGATCGTCAGTCCCCCTTAATAATTCTAAGTAGTAGGTGAATTTTTCACGTTTGTGGGATGGTCACCTAATTTCCTCTTCTTCCACTATCGCTTACACGTTTCTCTATTATAAAATGATATGTCCGAAATGGTTTTAGATTTGTTACCTAGTTGCATCTGCCCCGATTTCCTTCTATTGTCAGGTATGCAATTGCTACTGCTCTCCGAGATAAACAACGAGTGATCTACACAACACCGATCAAAGCATTGAGCAATCAGAAGTATCGTGAATTCTTCGAGGCATTTCCCGAGGTTGGCCTGATGACTGGGGATGCAACAATCAATCCGAACGCCAGTGTCCTAATCATGACCACGGAAATTCT